TTACAGTAATGATTACTAGTGGATTCCAGCCTTGTTGTGGCTATTAGTCTGGAGAGTGGACATAGACTTGGAATTGGGGATAAAGCCGAACTACTATAAATCTCAGTGTGTCATCTTCTATCTCTTAATTACTAGCACACCTGATTACATCATCTGTTCATTAGCAACACCCTTGATTATTTTAAACTGTTTTTACTGCTGGTGAAATTTAACTTGTTATATTTCACAAAAGTTTTTTTATAGTTTCTCATTCAACCTATTCACCCCATCTAGGATGTATTGTTAGCCCTAACAGTATCTAAATATAAACAACTACTTAAAGACAGAGATAAAGGGCCGCATGAAGACTTTCCACAAAACATGGCTTTAGTAGAAATATATGAGTTAGATGATGAATATGGCCAAGATAAAATAATCAAATGATCGATGAATCATTCGATTTTTTAAATGGGGGCATATGTTGATATCAAAAAATGATCAATTTTTTGTTATAATCGACAAGTGATAAATTTAGTTGATAATAGCAATTTGGTGAACAGCAAAAATCATTAATGAAAAGAACAGTCGACAACTTGAAGTGCATCAACAACCAAGGAAGTTATCGACGGCAAACATTAATTATTTCGGATATGTAAGCTCTTTTAGATGTTGTTACTAGATAATTGGAAATTGCAAATAATGTAACTTCTTGAAACTGCAGATAGGATTAAAATTTTATTTGTCTTGAAGATAGGATGATGAAGTTATATTTTTAAATTAAATAACTGTTTGTAATTGTTGATTGTATGTTTTAAATGACCACATCATATTCTTTGTAAGCCTTTAACAATTATGACAACAATCTATTATCTTTTATCAATGTCATCTTTTAATTGTTGTTTCCAAATATTTCATCATCCATTAAATTTTGGTGAAGCTTTTTATGTTATCGCACTTCATCGTTAATTAAATTCCGTTGAAGCATATTTGTTCCTTGTGTTCCATTGATAAGATTGCTGTCCGGAATCATCACAGAACCCGTCTTTTCTTGATAAAACTGAAAAAAGAATATCAGTGAAGAATATTTCATCGTCGATTAAATTTCAGTGAAGCGTTTTATCTCATCACACTTCATCGTTAATTAAATTTCGTTGAAGCATATTTGTTCCTTGTGCTCCATTGATAAGACCGCTATCCGGAATCGTCACAAAACCCGTTTTTTCTTGATAAAACTGAAAAAAGAATTTAGGTGAAAAATATTTTGTCGTCGATTAAATTCCGGTGAAACAATAATATATTGTATTTTGGTACGTCAATTATATATTTTTTAAGTACATAAAAATTTATAGCTTTATACATAGAAAAATAATGAAAAATTACATTAAAAAAGTAAAAGAAAAAAAGTTAGAAAAAAGATAGTAAAAAGTAGGAGCAGCTGAATGTGAGAGTAGCATTGGAAACGACTTTTCCTCGTATTTGATCAACAAGCTGTCAACCACCAATTCTAATCTATTAAGATATTGACCGGTGAATGACAGGTAGTAGGTACAGGGTAAGAATATCTATTATAATATAAGAAAAATACCACAAAAAATCCTAAATTATATCACTTGTGATAAATTTATCTTGAACTTTTTTTTGTGACATGAAAAACCTCAAACTATGCCACTTGTGACATATTTACCTCACAATAGTTTGACCCATGGGCATTTTCGTCTTTTTCCTTTTTCTATTTTTTTTCTTTCTTCTCCGGCGGAGGGAAGTCAGCGAGGGCGGTCCTCGCCGGCGCTGGGTTGGGCGAGGGCTGCCCTCGCTGGCGTTGGGCGAGAGCCGCCCTCGCCCGACGCCGATGAGGGTAGCCCTCGCCTGAGTCGGGTGAAGTCGCCCTCGCTAGATCCGGTGAGGGCCGCCCTCGCTCGACGCCGGCGAGGGTCACCCTCGCCCAACCCAACGCTGGCGAGGGCCACCCTCGCCGGCTTCCCTCCGCCATGGCCGGCGGAAGGAAGAGAGAAGAAAGAAAAAAAAAAGGAAAAAAGAAAAAAAGACGAAAATGCCCATGGGTCAAAGTATTGTGGGGTAAATGTGTCACAAATAGTATAGTTTGAGATTTTTCGTATCACAAAAAAAAGTTCAAGGTAAATTTGTCACAAGTGGCATAGTTTGGGGTTTTTCGTGTCATAAAAAAATTCGGGTAAATTTATCACAAGTGTATAGTTTGGGGTTTTGGTAGTATTTTCCCTATAATATATAACAACAAGCTCTTGTTTAGGAATTGCCTATAAAAATAATAGGATTAATATCATGAAAATTTTCAAATTGGTACATTTGTGATAAAATTTACTTTATACTAATTTTCGACCATCAAAACTCCAAATTGATACACGTGACAAATTTACCCTAAACTAATTTTTTGACCCGTAAAAAATCACAAAGCTGTAAATGCGTGACAAACGAAGAGGTAAAATCCTAAAGCGCACATCCGTCAACTATCACGTATCATCCAACTTAGTAATTTGTGAAAATTTAACGGAAACTAACGGAGGGATAAATTTGTCATCAAAAAAAAGTTCAAGGTAAATTTGTCACAAGTGGCATAGTTTGGGATTTTTCGTGTCATAAAAAAAAATTCAGGGTAAATTTATCACAAGTGGCATAGTTTGGGGTTTTTCGTGTCACAAAAAAAAGTTCAGGGTAAATTTGTCACAAGTTGTATAGTTTGGGGTTTTTGGTGGTATTTTCCCTATAATATATAACAACAAGCTCTTGTTTACGAATTGCCTATAAAAATAATAGGATTAATATCATGAAAATTTTCAAATTGGTACATTTGTGATAAAATTTACTTTATACTAATTTTCTGACCATCAAAAACTCCAAATTGATACACATGTGACAAATTTACCCTAAACTAATTTTTTGACCCGTAAAAAATCAAAAAATTACACCGTCGTACTATCACGGCAAATCCAACGGAGGGTAAATTTGTCATGTACAAAGTTAGAAAATTTGTCAGAGAGTGTAAAACCCTAAATATCATGAAAATTTTAATTGGTACATCCGTCAAAAAACTCAAATGTCACGTGACAAATTACCTACAATGTGTCATCCAACTTAGTAATTTGATTGGGTAAAATTTAACGGAAACTAACGGAGGGTAAATTTATCACATGTGTACCAGTTTGGAGTTTTTGGTGGTCAAAAAATTAATTTGGGATAAATTTATCACAGGTGTACTAGTTTGGGATTTTTCATGGTATTAACCCAAAATAATACATAGGCTACTAAATTGCAAGGGGTTGATCATCATGCTTTGTAAGCAATGCCTTTATTGCATATTTATCTATTTTGCTTCTAATTAAGATTTGTACTTTCCCCATTCAACACCATGAATTTGTTCAACATAAAAGGAAAGTTTTAATGAGCTTCATTGTTGTAAAACATTGTATTACAATTTAGGAAAGAGTATAAAGCCGTGCTTTCTTTTCTTTTCTTTTCTTTTTTAATTTTCTTGCTTATCCCGATCCACATTTTTATTCTGGTAGACTCTAAATGTTCCTCATTGATTAACTAACCCTCATTTATCTTCTCTTCCGGTAGATTTTCAATGTTGCTTATGTCTTAACAAATCCTAATGTGTCCTCTTTTGGAAGACTGTAAACGTTAATTATTTCTTGAACTCTTAATCCTCATTTGTTTTTCTGGTGGACTTTTAGTAGCATTTTTCTTTCCACATTAGATCCCTACTCACATAAAATTCCCACATTTATCGCCAAAGATTAGTTACCATATTAGGGTCCGTTTATTCCGCAGAAAATGAATGATTTGAAAAGCATTTTCCTAAAAATTATCGCTTGAAATAATTAGCTAGTGAAAAATATTTCTCCTTTTTTTATAACAATTTATGTTTAAATATTTTCGTGGACGATGAAACATTTTTCGTTTTTTTTATTCGTTTTTGTAAGCGATACAAGTAATCGATTTTAGTAAAATATTTTCTAAACCATTCATTTTCCGCGAAATAAACACACTCATGGACTTCGCATCGTTACTCCAAACAAAATCTTAGACCATCCCAACTCCAACAGGTTTTCAAAAGAGAATGGTTGTTGTGACTTGGCGGAATTTTCCTCATTTCCAGCCCCTCCAACACATTTTCAAAAGAGAATGGCTGTTGTGACTTGGCGGAATTTCCCTCGGTACCAGCCCTGCCCCTCCTATGGTTTGCTCTATTCATCAAATAAACCGAATGTGTGAGAACGGGGGCTTCTACGTAACGTAATTAATCGAGCCCAATCGAACGGCCCGGCCCACCAGTGTAAGGATTTGAAAACAGCCCAAGAGTGATTAGGAAATGCTGTAGATCTACTTTGGGAAAATGACACAAACAGTCCCTGAACTTTGGCCTAATGTGCAATTTGGTCCCTGAACTTTTAATTTGTTCAATGTAGTCCCTGAACTTTAAGTTATTGTTCAATGTGGTCCCTGAACTTTTAATTTGTTCAATGTCATCCTTGAACTTTTTGTACATGTTCAATTTAGTCCTTGAACTATATGAAAATGTTCAATATAGTCCCTAAATTTGAATTAATGGAAAGGACTGTATTGAACATTTTCATATAGTTCAGGGACTGAATTGAACATGTTCCAAAAGTTCAGGGATGACATTGAACAAATTAAAAGTTCAGGGACCACATTGAATATTAGCTTAAAGTTCAGAGATTACATTGAACAAATTAAAAGTTTACGGATCAAACTGCATATTTGGTCAAAGTTCAGGGACTGTTTGTGTCATTATCCCATCTACTTTATGTTGGATCTTGAAAAGTCTTTTAACGTCATGGGGGAGAGAATGGGGGTAATGGTGGCGGCACGGTAAAAGATCGATCGTATTGATCCCTGTAATGTCGAGGGAGGGCATTTTCGTCTTTTCCGCACTGGTCGGGCTTGTGCGATAGAAAGGGGGGAGAGAGCGCCCTCACAAGTCGCGGCCTGCGCGACATTAGCATCGAGAGATCCCCCCTTCTCCCCCGGAAGAGCCATGGCGGAGGCAATCCTCTGGGAGTTTGCTAGACTTCTGGATGATTTCGCGAAGGATGGGAAATTAAGGGTTTTTGGCGGCGAATTTGACAAGCTCAAGAAAACCGTTTCCTTTCTCCAAAATATAGCGCACGATGCAGAAAGGCGGAGCCTCGAAGACTTTCAAATCGCACGATGGCTGCGCGATCTCAAAGCTGCTTTCTATGATGCAGAGGACTTACTCGAAGGATGGACCATGGAAGTTATGCGACCAGAATCGCCGAGCAAAGATGAGAAATCGAAGAAGCAGGTAAGTACCTCCATTTCGCCTTCAAACCCACGTGCTTTAAGGCTGGAGATGAGAGGCCGTGCGAGGGATATTAGGGAGAGAATAGAAGCCATCGCTGCTAAAGGGAGGGGTTTTAATTTGCGAGAGAGCGCGGAGGATGTGCGAGTAGGGAGAGGAGCGTGGAACAGAGAGCGGTCGGAGTCCTTTGTGTACGATGAGGAGGAGATTATAGGGAGAGATGATGCTAAAAGCGCAATTATGAAGTTCTTGTTAGATTCTGACACCGAAGAAAAATTTCCCGTCCTTTCAATATGGGGTGAGAGTGGGATTGGAAAGACTGCTCTTGCTCGATGTCTATACGAAGATGACACGGTCAAGAAGCATTTTGATTTAAGGATATGGGTCTGCGTGGGTCGCGACTTACTTAATCTCGAAGGGGAATTGCGAACTATCAGAGAAAGAGAGACTACACAGGGAGCAGATGACATGGAGCAATTGCAAAAATATCTCCTAGTTATTGACGATCTGTGGTCTGTGGATCCTGAACGGTGGAGGAGCTTGAAAAGTTTATTGATGGGAGGGGCCCAAGGAAACAAGATTCTGATAACAACACGCGATCAGTCAGTTGCGGACCTTACGGGCACAACCCCATCTTATTGTCTGGAGGCCCTTCCAGAAAACTCGTCTTTAGATTTATTGATGAGAATGGCATGTGAGGAAGAAGAAGAGACTAGAGATTCAATTAAGCTAACTGTCGGTAGGTGGATAGTAAAAAAATGTGGTGGAATCCCTCTGGCTATACGAATAATCGGAAGTCTATTATTCTTCAAGAAAACTGCACTTGAGTGGTTACGTTTTGAGTACGAGATGTCAAAATTTTCTGCAGATTTTCGTGACTTAGGTTCAATAGTTGAGCTTAGTTATATTTATCTCCCATCCCATCTAAGACAGTGCTTTGCCTTCTGTTCATTGTTTCCCAAAGATTCGGAGATTGATAAACTAATGTTGACGAGTCTCTGGATGGCAGAAGGATTTATCCGGCCCATAGGCAACAGAGATCACGATATGGAAGATATTGCTCATGACTATTTCATGGATCTACTCAGGAGGAATTTGTTTCAAGACTGCACTAAAGACGAATTTGGAAAGGTGACGTCTTGTAAGATGCATGATTTAATGAATGACCTAGCACGCCGTGTTGCTGGAACTGAGTATAAAAGAATCGATGTCTCACTGCCGTTAATTGAAGCAAGAACTCGTCATATAGCGCTTGATTCATCTTTACATTTATCACGGGGATATCCAAATGTACTCGGAGCAAATCGTGTGAGGACATTCATCAGAAATAGTAAAATAAGAAGGTTGAGGTGTAGAATTCAAATGCATGAACAAACTCTTCACAACTTCATTTCTTGTTTCAAGCTCTTACGTGCCTTGGATTGGCATGACAGTGCTATTGAGAAGTTGCCAAGTTCCATTTGTGAGTTGAAGCACCTGACATTTCTAGATCTCTCTGAAAATGAAGGAATCGTAAGGCTTCCTGATTCTATGACAAGAATGCAAACCTTGCAGGTACTTAAACTCAATATGTGTTACAAGCTAATAGAATTGCCAAGCGATATAAGAAAATTGGTCAACCTCAGGCAACTGGAGATTAGCAATTGTAAGGCCCTATCTCATATGCCACATGGGTTGGGCCAGTTGACTCTTTTGCGCACTCTAACAGATTTCCTTTTGCCCGGAGATGATTCTTGTTCAAAGAAATACAGTGGGCTAGGGGAGTTGAGCAGGTTAAGCAATTTGAGAGGGAGCCTCAGAATTGAAGTTAAGGGACAATTAAAGGATGCGGTAGCAAATTCAAATTCTGCGAACTTGAAGGAGAAGGATTACTTAGTTTCACTAGTATTAGTCTTTCCCGGAAAAGAGAGCGATGACATTCTACTCCAAGAGCTGCAGCCGAGCTTAAATCTACAAAGCTTAGAAATAAGAGGCTATGGGGGCACAAGGTTTCCAAGCTGGATGTCTTGCTTGCCCAAGTTAGTTCAGCTACGGTTGTTTGATTGTGCAGGATGCAAAATTCTCCCATCACTGGGTGAGCTCACTAGCCTCAAGCATTTGGAAATTGGTAAGCTACCTATGGTGGAGTACACAGAAAGTGATCTTAATACCCTCTCATCACTTCCTAATCTGTCTACATTAAAGATATGGGAGTGTCCTAATTTGGAATGGATTCCACCACTTCGACATCTCAAGGAGTTGAAACTTCCTAGGTTTCCTTTGGAGCCATTGCAGACTTTAGTTGCCACTACTGAACATGTAATATGTATTGATGATCGAGTGAAGGATGTAATCAAGTTATTGGAAATAGAGGATGATGAGGTTGGACCACGCATTGTTGGAATTCATGGAACTAATGGAAGCGGCAAGACAACTATTGTGAAGGCTGTATACAACCGACTCTCCTCTTGTTTCGATCATTGTAGCTTTCTCGCAGAGATTGGAGAAACAACACGAAATGTTGGTGGTATTCAGTTTGTGCAAACTAAGTTGATATGTGATGTTCTTGAACAAGATGGAGATGTTGCTTCGTTTGAAGGAGGAATCAAGTTTTTCCGAGATGTATTTCGCACTGTGAAAGTTCTTATTGTCCTAGATGATGTGGAAGAACAGTCTCATCTTGATGATCTTGTAGGCGACCAGCTTGACTGGTTTGGTCCTGGAAGTCGAATAATTGTTACTTTAGAAAATGTTGGAATTCTCCAAACATATGTTTCTCGAGGCTTGGCTCGTATGTATGAAGTGAATGAGATGGATAATTATCGAGCTCTTGAACTTTTTCGCAAGCATGCTATAGGAACACACTGTTCAATTCCTGGCTATATTGAAATTGGGAAGCGTATTGTCAAAGCTACGGGGCAGGTTCCACTTGTTATTGAGGTTATCGGTTCCTTTCTACATGGAAAAACAATAGAAGATTGGAGGAAGATAGAGGACTTGATAAAACCGCAGAAGGAGAACTCGCAAGAGATTTTGAAGGATTGTAGGGAGATTTTGAAAATCTGTTATGATGCATTAGATGAAAAGCAGAAACAAATATTTTGGGACATAGCATGGTTTGCCAATGGCGTGGACAGCCGAATTGCATCATATATGTGGCCCGATCGAGATCTTTTGCCTTCTCACCATGTTTTGATGCCCCTAGCAAAAATTGGAGGAGACAACATGCTGTGGATGCATAAACTGTTGAAGCACCTCAGCAGAACTATGGATCAAGAACCTAAATATCCTGGAAGGCGCAGTAGACAATACATGCATGTTACAGACCTGGAAGTAATCAACAGGAAAGAGGTAAAGGCTTTTGTTTCAATGTGTTTTTATTCTTCTGTAAAATGAAAGTCTTGACATATAAGGTCTAATTTGTTATCCAGTTCTTCAGTTATTTTACCATCTGTAAGTCTTCTTTGCATGCACGGAAAAGGGACCACCTTAGTCCTTTTCACCTAGCAAAATTTTCTGCTGTGTTTTATAGCTTCAGATTGATTTGTTACTCTTGGCAAATGTAGGGAATGGAAGAGGTGGAAGCCCTTTGCTTTGACTTCAAAAATCTTCATCTCCATTCATTTACAGAAACCGATTTCAAGAGCATGCCAAGCATAAGGTTCTTGAAATTGGATCATGCAAAAATGACTGGAAATATTGCAAATGTATTTCCAAAGTTAAGGTGGCTTCGTTGGCAAGGGTGCCCAAGGGATTTCGAAGCAGCAGAATTTAGTCTGACTGAACTGGTCATTCTTGATCTTTCATGGAGCAAAGTCACCGAAGACTGGGGAGGTTGGAGGAAAATCAAGGTGGTGTCCTATTTACTGCTCTAATGCATTTATTCTGTTAATTATTTGGCAATTGACCTTATGATGTTTGCTGTTTTACAGATGGAGCAATTGAAAGTCTTAAATCTCACCGGTTGTACTGACTTACTGATAAGTCCGACATTTTCTAGCTTCCCGAACTTGGAGATACTGATTCTAGAGCGATGCTCTCGGTTGGTCCATTTAGATCCTTCAGTCGGTGGTCTCAAAAAATTGCTTTGCCTGAATTTGAAGTCCTGCACTGAACTCAACAGGTTGCCTGCCGAACTGGGTGCCTTGAAAGCTTTGAAAGAGCTCCTCATTGATGAGACTTCTTTGCGTGGTATTCCCTTGGGAGGTGATTCAAAGAAACTTGAAACTCTTTCTGCCTCCAATTGCTTGTCATTGAGTTTCCTGCCCCATTCAATTGAACACCTGACATCCCTTTCAACACTCTCAGTAGATAATTCAAAGATTACGAAACTCCCTGATGGAGTTGGAGAGCTGGTGAAACTCCGACGCTTGTCATTGAGGAATTGTCGTTGGATACAAGAACTTCCAGAGTCCATTGGCCAATTGGGAAGCTCTTTAGAGGAGCTGGATATTTCGGGAACAGGCGTTTCAGAATTGCCAGATTCCTTTGGAAATTTGCAGAGGTTGAGAGTGTTAAAGATGGACTATTGCTTCATAAGCGAATTTCCTAGTTTTATTTGGCGTCTACGTAGCCTTGAAGAAATACATGCCTCCTCATGTAGGAATTTAGAAGGGGAGATTCCTGGAGACATTAGGGAGCTTATTAATCTGAGAATCTTGACGCTGCGATATTCTGCTATTTCCAGCCTACCTCCTGAAATCCAGCATCTTTCCAAGCTGGAGACTCTTGATATACTTCACTGCGACATGCTTCCTAAGTAGCCAGCACTTCCCTCTTGTTTGGTTAATGTGCATTTGAATCCAAACTTGAAGGAAAAGGTGTCTGAATCTTTAGAATCTGTCTTTGTTTCGAAGAGTTGGTGCTGGGTGTTTGAGATCACGTCCGGTACGCATTTGGTGGAGCATTGTTTCGTCATTGTGTAACTTGGATAACAAGGCCATTGAAACCGGTCATTGTTCTACTTAGCCTTGGTAATGCTCAATAAGTTATGCAGATAATTGTTATTGTTTCTGCTGATATTTCCTTTCAAAGTATTTGAGCTTCCTCTGATATTGCATGCTCGTGTTTTTTTAAGGCCAAAAATACTACGTGCTGTTTGACACTAGCTGATAGTGGATCATCTAATGAAGGCGCTCACATTTTGACACTGCCTGGCGGTCTCTCTTGCAAGTCTTTCTCAAGAATTTTTTATTGTTGTAGTAAATTAATAATAAAAAACTAATTAAAGCAATAGCTGGGGACTTCAGTAGCTTAATGGCGAGGAGGAGTCAAGCAAACGGGGGCTTTATTTGATATTAGGCACAGGCATCGTTTTGAATCATTAGTAATCCATTGATATGAGGTGTTTTTTTTTTTTTTTTGAAATCCGGACTCCCGCACCGGCCGCACTACAAGGGTCCGACCGGCCAGGCACCAACCGCTAATCTGGCCCCACAAACTAGCCTCCATGTAAATCAAGAGTATGATAAGGCTACGCGGCAGAGGGGACTCGAACTTGGGACCTGTGACCCCAAGTCCTACACCCTTACCAACGCGGCCAACCTCTTGGAGGCTTGATATGAGGTGTTATGTAAGAGAAAAAGATGAGATATGTATAACTTGTTTTACAATTTTGTGAATAAACATCAAACTTTATGAAGGACTAAGATTAATGTTGTCTAACTAAACGTCATAATGTTGAGTTTCCCGAGAACATAAAATATAAATAAAAAGATGATCTTTCATGCATAATAATGAAATCTACATTTGATATTAGTCTATTCAAAAAGTAAAAATTTAAAATAAGACAAATATAAAATTTTCTTTTTTTTAGCTGAATTGCAATGTTAACTTTTTTTTCTTTAAACTTTTATTGCATGTTTGAGACAAAATATCTATTTTTGTAATATCAAAGTAACGGGTATAATTTATCCCGTTTGACATCCACGTAGTTAAAAGAATAAAAAAATAATGGATCGTGTTACATATAGACAAAAGTTATTTCATTTCTCGAAGTGAATTTATTTATTTAGTATAAATTTTTTTACTGGACTAAATCAAATTACTTGAATGAAATCAATTAAAGCTTTAATTAGCAAGAATACATGACCCATATCTAGAGTGGGATTTCAATTGTTTTTTTGTCCATTTTAACTTTTTTTTATAACCAATTTGATTCTAAGAAATTAAAATTAAATGAAAGTCATTTGTGTCATAAAATAATCTATAATAAAGGTCATAAAATAAATGCTTACATACGCTGCTTCCAGTATCCGTAGTTCATTTCATCAAAGTATGGAGGCTACTTTTGTGCATGAGAATTACAAGCAAGAAAGCTGCTAAGGCTAGTCAGTCAAATAGATTTTTATGCTTAAAAGGAAAGCATTTCAAAGAACAAGCAACAAAGCTCTCATACCAATTGTTAGGGTAATGAGGCAACTTAGAAGGGGGTTGAATAGGTTGAGTGAAGCTACTAAAAAACTTTCGCAGAATAATAACAATCAACAAACCATATTGTATGATAAGTTGATCAGTGTGTGATGATAGTGAACAAATTAAAGTAGATGATGAACACTAAAGATAGATTAATAATATATATAGTGGTTCAGCTTTATACTTAAGGCTACGTCCACTCTCCAGCTAACAACTTAACAACGACTACAAAGGTATTGCTCGAAAGACGGTCCGAATGGTTTATCGAGAAGACGGTTCTAATGATCCATCTAATGACAACCCAAGGGGTCCATCAATTAAGAACGTAAACACTCTTCCTCCTGCAACTTGTCGAACTTGGCAATATAATCTACAGATTAGTATCTGGGAGGTTTAGAAGCCATGGAAACAGCAGGATTGAAAACAAACGGAACTTAGACCAAGGGTTTAAACTGGCAAACGATTAGGGTTTAAGGCTAAGGACAAAGAAAGAAGCGACCTAAAACTCAAATCTTGGCCGAATTTATACTTTTCGAAAACGGGCGACGATGCAAAGGGCAATGATCCGTAAAGATATGATCCATAATGGAAGTGATTCATGAATCATGTTGATTGAAGCGACGTGTCAAGATGCCATGAGATAGTCGCCTGTGTATAGAGTACGAAGCATCACGGGTACAATACGCATCCTAGTACTAGGTAGAGCAGAAAGCGGTACTTTTCACCAATGGTGTCACGCCCCGTACCCCACGAAGCATGAACATCCGCGTATAGGTCGAAATAAGGTGCGACGCTCCCAGGTTACGTCACCGACCCGAAAACCCAAATCAGAGAAAACACGCCACATGCGGAAACGACGTATATATATTATATATATACACCCAGACAATTTAAAAGCAACCATGAGTAGCACAAGCCAACAAAATTCAAACGATTAAAAACAACATATACATTCATTATAACACTTATATATACAATATCCATTAAAACCAGAGCTACAACAAAAGGGCTACGAGTACAAAAAGGGATCGGTGGCCTAGGGGGATCGATTAACCACTAGAGGCTACAATCAAAAGTATCGGCCCCGCCCTAAAGCCGAGTCCGCCTAGGATATCCAGTTGGGGTCGACCCGCACGTCTCGGAAGAATTCTCGGACTGCTCTGGGTTCCTCCTCCGAACTCATAGCCTCAAACTCTATCTCGGGCTCGGGTCCCGCTCCTCGGCATTCTATGGACTGGGTCGAAAATGCTCGGTTTTACCACAACCGTGAGAAAACTCAAAGAAGTACAAACCACTAATCCTAAACTAGGCTAATGTGCACCTCCGGAAGGTAAATAAAACGCATCAAAATATGAACCAAGTAATACAACATTAATTCACCCGAGCTCACGAATATAATGTCTCATAGCCCCGCAGTTAGGCATTTGGCATCACTATAAGTCAAGTGCAATTATACCGACCCGAAGGCCCACAGTTGGATATAACGACCGTGAGCCCGACCCGAAGGCCACAGTTGATAAACGACCGTAGGCCCGACCCGAAGGCCAACAGCTTGATAAATCGACCCGTAGCCCGACCCGAAGGCCACAATTGATAAATCGACCCGTAGCCCGACCCGAAGGCCACCGTTGATAAAACGACCCGTAGGCCCGACCCGAAGGCCACAATTGATTATAACTCAGGCAAGTACATCGTTTCACTCAATTTCAACCAATCACCACTTGATATGCAAAATATATGCTCGGGAATTTAAGGTTAAATATCGATGCCAAAACACCAAGCATAACCATGCTCAAATTAGACATGTTCATCTCATTCTTGGCATACCCAAGCATTTCCACTCTAATCCAATCCATTTCAAGTTCATTCCGCGCATTCATTTCACACCTCAATCTAATGCGCCTAAGGCCCGCCTTGGGCAATTCAATCTCAATATTCGTTTTCACCACTTCGGGGTCATACGATAGGATTCATACAAGTCCTACTCAACCCCTAAAAATGCCTAAACTCAAGTCAATAGCCAAAGAACCAATTAAGTCTCCAATTAAGCCCAATGGTACAATTCGGTTCTGGTGAACAGTACCAGAACCGAATGTCCATTTTGCACCAAACTACCCCTAAACAATTCCATTAGGCCTCAATCAAATACTATAATCACCCAAACATCAAATACACATAATCAAGCCTCAATTAAGCTTAATTAAGCCCTATAATGACCAATTCAAGGTCACCAACAATTGAACCCAATTAGTACAAACTTAGACAAATTAAAACAATTTCGGAGCCCCATGAACAGTACCAGGAAAAATGCACATTTAGGCACTAATTCACCTTTAAACCATCTCATTAAGCCCTAATCACCTACCCTAAACATCCAACCACCAAATACACATAATTAAGCCTCAAATAAGCTTACTTAGTCTACCAAATGCCTAATTTTAAGTCATTAACCATTGAACTCAATTAGTACAAAACTTGAACAAAATTTAGCATTTTCGGTACTCATGAACAGTACCAGACCAGATCACAATTTAGGCCATTAAACCACCATTAAATCATCTCATTAGGTCCTAATGACCCATACAAAACATCCCACACACCATTAAGCCTAATTAACCCTCAATTAGGCCTAATTAACCCCTAAAAATGCACAATTAGACTAATTAGGGGTTTAGGGGTTTATACTCGCCTATTAACGATTCGGGACGACGGGAACGGGCGGTCGATCACCGACGAACGGTAAGGATCGACGGCGGCGCTCCGGTGCAAGCCGCGGTCCCGATGACACCTGGCGAAGACAATTAGCCGCTGTTTCTGTTCATTTAGGCGAAACCGGGCCGTGGTGGCTTGTCTTGAGCGAAAAGGGCTGCTGGTGGTGCTGGCTTGGCGGGGACAGCTCCGGGGAGTGCGTTCCGGCGTGAACAGCAGAATGGACGGAGCGTGCACGCCGTAAAAGAAACGGGAAAAGAAATTCACGGGGAAGGGGAGGAGGAGAATGGCTCGGCAGATCGAGAACAGAATGGGAGAGAGAGAGAGAAATGTCTGGTCAAATATGGGTCAACAAGTGTGAGTGGATTCCATGTGTCTCAATCTAGGCCAATTGGACAATTTTGCCCTTGATCCAATGGCTATCTTTCCTTCTCATCCAATAATTTAGGGGTAAAATGGTCATTTGTCACTAACCCAAGGCTGACCAGACCTGGTTAGTCCCATTTAACCTTGGTTAAACCCCTAATTAAATTCAATTTTCGGAATTAATTAAAATTGGCCTAGGGGCATTTTCGTAATTTTTTCGATCCCGAACCGAAATTTCAATTTTTGTCCATACCGGTCCTATATATTCATGGTAGACATAATCCGGTGTCGGATCCTTAAAATTCATCCTTTAAGCCCTCGAAAACCGGTCCAAAAGTCTCGAGGGGTAAAACCGTAATTTTTTCGTTCCGGGGGTCGAAATTCCAATTTTTTGACCGTATGCACTCCAGACGTGCATGGTTGCCCCAAAATGGCATCGATTCCGAAAAATAATTTCGTTTGGCCTCGGAAACGAGCATCGAGGTCCCCAGGGGCAAAATTGTAATTTTCCCCAATTTCTGTCGAAATTT